GGTAGGAAAATGCTAGTGCATTTCCCAGATATTTTTCTATCCTCGCCTCAATTCTTGCACCGTGCATTTCACTTTCGAATAAAGTCAATAAGTGTCAATTAAGTGTGCACCCCCTGAAATTTCATAGGTGAATTTTGACACACACCCATGAAATCCTCAGGGTGGTAAAGTCACCTGAACCAGATGAACATGTTCGTTTACGAGAGGTGAACATTTAGGCAACACATGGTGGTGTTACGACAGGTGAACTTTTTGGTAACACATGATATTGTATCACCTGATTACGTGAAGATGAACTTTTTGGTAACACAGGGTAACACAAAATTCAAAAGTGGTCTATATACACTTTTGGCCCATCCATTGGCATCCAGGTTGATCCAACTTTCACTACCGAGTGAGGTTACCCCCATGGCTCAGATGGCAAAGCGCATGTCTAGTAAGCATGAGGTCACGAGTTCGAGCCTAGGTGGAGGCACATTTTTTTGTATTTTTTTGCGAAAATTACAGCGAAAATTACAGGGCGAAAATTACAGGGGGTGAACAAAAGTTCACCTGTGTTACCAGGTTGGTGTTACCACAGGTGAACCGTAACACAGGTTCATGTTCATCTGGGATTTCGTAACTTTACCACCCTGGTTCAAATCCTGGTTCAAATCCACCTGAAATTTTGGGGGGGGGCACTCTATCTACGAGCCCAAATTGCTCGACAGCGTGATCGCGCGGTCTCAATTGATCGAGATAACCGAGATAGCGTGATTGATGACACCAAGAGATCTCGAAGGTTAACTGACTCTCTCGGAGGTACCGGTAAGGGCGTCGTTTTGCGAAAATCGTCCGTTTATTTTCTTGCTGCCAGTCAAAAAAAACAATTCTTGGCCGTTACATAAATCAACTCTCTGGGGGGCGCAACCCGTAGACTGTGTCCCGAGTATTTCCCCGCATTGGGAATTCACAATCCCAACTTTTTGAGTTGGGAATTCCCAGTACGCTCGTAATCCCAACTCTCAACTTATTTGGTTGGCAATCCCCATTGGGAAATGAACATCCCGTTTTTTTTATGGGGGGAGGGGGGGGGGAGAGAGCGAGAGCGGAGAGAGAGGAGAGAGAGACGGAGAGGAGAGAGAGAGAGAGAGAGAGGAGAGAGAGAGAGAGAGAGAGGAGAGAGGAGAGAGAGAGAGAGAGAGAGAGAGAGGAGCTTCGTTCCCGAGGCGGGCTCGTTCCTCAATTTCATCCCGCCAGGTATTTGTTTTAAATGGTTGGGAGTTCCCCGATTACATGAAATTTACCACACAATTGGTCACGTCCAGGGCTGGACACGACTGATTTGGCCAATTGTGTAGTAAATTTCGTTGATTCGGGGAACTCCAAAGCATTTAAATCAAATACCTGGCGGGATTAGATTGAGGCTCCTGCACAGTGCTGTGTCTTTAACAGTGTGGTGTCTTTAAAGGTGTGCCTCGCTCACAAGAAAGTGCCCCCCCCAAGGACCCTACAGTAGACCTGCATGTAGAGAGAGAGAGAGAGAGAGAGAGAGAGAGAGAGAGAGATAAAGAGGGGAGAGAGGGCCATGTTTTTTCCATTTTGGATGAGGCCACAGTGGTGCACCACACAGCGAGCTACGAGGCGCTTGCACACCCCTTCAAGATCTTGAAGAGACATACACGAAGTGTCACGACCACATGCACACCTCGGCCTCGCAAATTACCCACGCCCCGCGAATGACCCCGGTACCTACACCACTGTGGCCCATCCAAAATGTAAAAAACATGACGCGAAGCGTCGTGTTTTTTACTTTCCCCTGCACGTTGCGCGAAGCGCCACATGTTGAGTCACATATTAATCTCAACACGTCCGAACACACGTCCTTGTGAACGGACGTGTTGTCGTGTAGTAAACCTCCCCTCATGTCCATTCATTCCTCCCCTCGTGTCCGAAAACGGCAATCTTCTTTACCACCTAGGACCCCATATCTGATATGAATAAATTCCCCGTCCGAAAACAGTGAAAAAACTAGGGTTGCGTATCAGGCCAAATTTCAAGAGTCTCGGACCCAACTTCTCGATAAATAACTTCTCGAGTCTCGGACCCAACTTCTCGAGAAGTGAATTTCAGGGGGAGAGATAAGAGAACAGCACAACTACCGGTACGAGCTCGTATAGGTGCGTCTGCATGTGCGTCACCTCAACGGTCCTGAGGCGGGCCCGTCTCGGACCCAACCTCTCGAACTCAAATCTCACTTCTCGAGTCTCGAGAAATCCGGGCCAGTCTCGGACCCAACTTCTCGAACTCAAATCTCACTTCTCGAGTCTCGAGAAATCCTGTGAGACGCAACCCTAGAAAAAATCCCAGCTGTCCACGCCCCCCTTTCAAATCAAGAAAAGTGAAGAAAAGGTTGTTTAGATGGACTTCTGGATCATGCGGTGAGTAGATGGACCGAGAACAACAAAATCAAAGTTCCGGACATGGAAAGAATATTAAAATACCAAAATGACTCTTGTCCGACTCCATGTCCTGCGATTTCATGTATGCCACGGGGTTTTGCGCCCCATACGAAGCTTCGTACGAGCTCGTACATGTACCCCCTAACAGGGCTGGGAACTCAACTCAATGAACTCATCGTTGTTTAGTTGAGCCAGTACGAAGCTTCTTATCATGAATCATGAGTTCGTTGTTGAGTTGAGCTGAGTTGGTGAGCCGATTCCATGGTTTTGAGAATCCTTGTTGAGTTGAGTTGAGCACTCAGCTCAACAAGGCTCATTAGGCTCAATAAGAAAGCTGTTCCTGGTACAAAATTTTGGTACCAGGATTTTCAACTAAATCGTATTTGCTCAACTGGTGCACTCCAAGGGGCATTTTTCACATTCCCCTTGGTGCACTCACTTAACACCTCGCTATCCGACCAAGGCGATACGACTACGACTCCGTATGCAGTTTCCCTGTTGCAAAAAATCCCCTTTTTTCCCTACACCCACACCCACGCCCACACCCACACCCACACCCACACCCACACCCACACCCACACCCACACCCACACCCACACCCACACCGACACCGACACCCTAAGCCCTGAACCCTAAACCCTAAGCCATAAACCCTCAACCCTAAAACCTCAACCCTCAACCATAAACCATGCACCCCAAACCCCACACCTTGAACCATAAACCCTGAACCCCACACCCTAAAACCTAAACCCGAGTGTGGCCGCCAAATACTAGCCAAGGCTGCCAATCAGTTTTTGAGCGAAGGCCAAGGCCACCAATCAGGGTTTCATTCCAATAAAATGGCAGTGTTGGCCAGTTTGTTTGTTGAAGAACAGAAAAACAAACCCACACATCAGCCAGTTTTAGTTTTCAATAAAAAAATGGTACTCGTGTGACTGGCTGATTGGTTCTTGTCAGCCACACTACTAAACCTAACCCTTGACCCCCCACCCCCCACCCTAAACTCCAAACCTTAAACCCTAAACCCTAAACCCTAAAAAACAAACCACACCCTAAACCCCACACCCTAAACCCTAAAAACAACCCCACACCCTAAACCTTAAAGCCTCAAACCTAAAGCCTAAACATTCAACCCTAAATCCTAAACCCTCAAACCTAAACCCTGAACGCTAAACGCTAAACGCTAAACGCTAAACGCTAAACCCCAAACCCTAAACACTGAACCCTCAACCCTAAATCCTGAACCCTATCAAACCCCAAACTCTAGACTACTGTAGGGTCCTAGGGGGGGGGCGGTTTCTTATGAGCGAGGTACCCCTGTAGCTTCTGTGGACCCCGTTGCTTATCCCTCAAGTGGCGAGCAGGCTCATACGCCCTACGGTAGCGTCCTAGAACCTGCCTAATGCGAGTTAGGGCGAATGTTCGCCCGTCTGCCCCTTACGGGGTAAAGGACCTAAAAGGGACCTAAAGGACGTAAAGAGACCTTTACTGAGAAACTTCACTGAGAGCAATACCGCCACCATGCCCCCCCCCCCCTTCTTCTGGGGATACTACCCCTTGTAGTGGACGTGACCTGTGTAAAGTCACTCCGGTCATCCTACATGGGGTAGTATCCCCAGATAGTATCCCCAGACTTCTCGCAACTGATGCGAGGATCCCACTGGAACCGTTAGGACCTTCAGGTCCTTGAGGTTCTTCCAGCTCCCAACATAGGCGGACACCGGAACTGGTTCTGTAGAAAGGCCATGCTTCCTGCCCCCCCCCCTTCTCGCAACTGATGCTAGGATCCCACGGGAGCCTCTGGATGCTGGCCTCCTACTCTAGACCCACGGGGTCCTGCAGGGGTACCTCGCTCACAAGAAACGTCCGCCCCCCTAGGACCGCCGTAGGGACTTAGGCATGGTCCTACTGTAGGGTCCTAGGAGGAGCGGGTTTCTTATGAGCGAGGTACCCCTGTAGCCTGCATGCGGCACACACGATTCCGCCCCCCTCTTCAGAGCCCTGATATTACTGATGACACGAGATGGGCCCGCCTCGGGACCTGGGCCCGCCTCAGGATGGGGCCACCTCAGGATGGGCCCGCCTCGGGACTGATAGGCCCGCCTCGGGACCGATGGGCCTCGGGCCTCCCTCCCTCGCAACCCCCTCCAAGGCCAGAGCCACACGCGATGGATACGGTCCCTGCTCCGTGGCCCATGGACCACCAGCCCTCAAAGGCGGACCAAATCGAGGTTGGAGCATGAGCCAATTCCTCGGGCGGCACCTTCGAAAACGAATGTGCCGCCCGAGGAAATGGCTCCAAACATTCGTCGATTTGGTCCGCCTCGCAGGGCTGGTGGGAGGACGGGTTGGACTCTGGGAGCGGTGCCGAAGCCTTATCCCTTACGTGGCGAGCTGGTCAAATTTGACCAGCAAGAGGTCCTAGGAGGTCCTAGGGCCCTACAGTAGGGCGTATGCGCCTACTGACCACTTGAGGGATAAAGGGGAGGGAGTCCCGCCGCCTTTTGCTCATCGATGATGGGTTGGCGTCAGGACGTGTAGTGCCCCCCCCCGGGCGCAAACCCTCCACGGCTAGAGCCTCACGCGAGAGATGGGGTGCTGGACCAGCCCGAACCGCGATACGCTTCCCCCTCCCCCTACAGGGGTACCTCGCTCATGAGAAACCGCCCCCCCCCTAAGGACCACCGTAGGGCCATAGACATAGGTCTACTGTACCCCCCCCCTAAGAACCACCGTAGGGCCATAGGCATAGGTCTACTGTAGGGTCCTAGGGGGAGACGTTTTCTGATGAGCGAGGTAACCCTGTAGGCGCCGAAGCCTTACAAGGGGGGGGGGGGTCCCGCCGCTTTTTGCTCATCGAAGACGGGGTGGCGTCAGCGTCAGGATCGGGATAGGCCCGCCTCGGGACCGACAGGCCCGCCTCAGGACTGACAGACCCGCCTCGGGGCAGATAGGCCCGCCTCGGGGCAGATAGGCCCGCCTCAGGACCGACAGGCCCGCCTCAGGACTGACATGACAGGCCCGCCTCGGGGCA